CATTTGGTTATATCACAACACTGTGTTGTGTGCCCACATTGTGTCGCCATTGCCTTATACCACAGTAATGTTTCACATGCATGCTCTGCATTGCCTTATATTGACACAGGTGTTGCCTACACATTGCGTGGTGGTGCACTGCTTATCCAGCAGCAACATATTGTGCAATTCCTTCCACCAAACCTGGAGCTACAACGGTTTCATTGCCGTAAGTGAAATTCCCCCTGCCCAGAAGATCAGCTCACCGTCTAAGCACCACTTCATTCTCATTAACCGCACGTTGACCTGCTGCTCTGGGGATGTTCATTCCTTGTAAAGATTCCGTTTCATTCTTGATCTGATGCATTGTACCAACAGGCCAATGGACTGCTTTCAAACATTTCAGTTGCAGGGGGGGATATGCCAGCTAACCTCCTATAAATCAATGCACATTAACATGAAACTCACAAACTTTATTCCATTGCCCTTTGGGGGCTGGTAATTATTTCTGGAACAGGCAACTCCCTGCCTGGCTTTAATTACCTGGGAGAGTTTTCCTAAGGATTATACTGACTCAAATATTTCCACATTAATTGAGTGCCATGTTCTTGAGGCTTTTCCCCTTAGATACTCATGCATTCTGGCTAATATTCAAACCCATGTGACCACCACAGGGTGTCAGGGGCAACCCAATGATGCCACCACTTCCCAGTGACAGAACTTGTGGGGGTTAGGCTCTCTTTGTTGAGCAAAACATAACGACCACAATGGACCTGATCCAAACCCCGTTCAGATCCATGAAAAGACTCCTGTGGACTGGAATGGGTTTTAGATCTAACCCAAAGAGCCCAAACCCTGCAGACATTGAGTGACTGTGTTACTGACACATCTGCCTCTGGCATCATTCAGATCTCCAATAAGGGTCTTAACATTTAACCAGAATTAAAGTGAGGGTAGAGCTCTGTCACTGACCTACTTTGTGATCTTGGTCACTTAACTTATCCGTGCCTCAGTTTCCCCATTTGTAAAATAGCGGTCACGATGCTTGTAAAGTGCTGGAGATCTACATCTGAAAAGGACTACATAAGCACTAGGTACAATTATTAAACTGCTGCAGTACTTTACAGTAGCATTCAATACACTGTCAATATATGTATTCATCCACTGTAAGTATTATTAACTATTGATATAGTGCCATGGATTTATACGGTGCTTTGGAGACATGGACTAATACATGTTCCTTGCCCCAGAAAGCTTATGATGAAAGCTAAACAAGCCAAGACTCAGGGTAACAGTCTAGGAAAGGGAGGGTGAGAAGAGGCTACTTCTGTAGCTCACGAAAGCTTATGCTCAAATAAATTGGTTAGTCTCTAAGGTGCCACAAGTATTCAACAGTTAGGGTCTAGTTTTTTTCTCAGTTAGACCGCTGTAAATCAGTCATTACTCCATTGATGTGAATGGAGTTATACTGATACAAAATCAGTGTGAGATCAGAATATATTGGGCCAGATCCTCAACAAGTGAAAAACCATCAGCGCCGCTGGGCCATTCTACAGCAGCTGGGGATCTGGCCCATTGGTTAGACAGAGCCAAGGCCTGAATTCTGATCTCACCCTGGCTTTACCCTGCTGTAACTCCATTCACGTCCATGGAGTTACTCTGCTTGACACCGATGTACGAGAGAGGAGAGCCAGGCCCTTTATGCATAAAACCAAGACAAGCAGATTGGAAGGCACCTAGAGGGTGGGAGGAAATGAGCTCAGAGATGGAGTGTTCCTGCATTCTCTGGAAAAAAGAAAAGGAGTACTTGTGGCACCTTAGAGACTAACCAATTTATTTGAGCATGAGCTTTCGTGAGCTACAGCTCACTTCATCAGATGTTTACCGTGGAAACTGCAGCAGACTTTATATACACACAGAGAATATGAAACAATACCTCCTCCCACCCCACTGTCCTGCTGGTAATAGCTTATCTAAAGTGATCAACAGGTGGGCCATTTCCAGCACAAATCCAGGTTTTCTCACCCTCCACCCCCCCACACAAATTCACTCTCCTGCTGGTGCTAGCCCATCCAAAGTGACAACTCTTTACATAGTCAGGAGAGTGAGTTTGTGTGTGTATGGGGGTGGGGGGGATGTGAGAAAACCTGGATCTATGCAGGAAATAGCCCGACTTGACTATGTAAAGAGTTGTCACTTTGGATGGGCTAGCACCAGCAGGAGAGTGAATTTGTGTGGGGGGGTGGAGGGTGAGAAAACCTGGATTTGTGCTGGAAATGGCCCACCTGTTGATCACTTTAGATAAGCTATTACCAGCAGGACAGTGGGGTGGGAGGAGGTATTGTTTCATATTCTCTGTGTGTATATAAAGTCTGCTGCAGTTTCCACGGTAAACATCTGATGAAGTGAGCTGTAGCTCACGAAAGCTCATGCTCAAATAAATTGGTTAGTCTCTAAGGTGCCACAAGTACTCCTTTTCTTTTTTGCGAATACAGACTAACACTGCTGTTCCTCTGAAACCTGCATTCTCTGGGGCAGTGACTACGCTGTGGCTCAGGGGACACTGCCAAAAGTAATACATCCAGAGTTAACAAATGTGGGGCTCAGTCCTGAAGCCCTACCTCAGGCAAAACTCCTGTGATTTCAAACCAGAGTAAAGGCTTGGGTTTTGACCTATTGAGGGTAATACACTTACAGCCAGACTCTCAGGCAGCATAAGTACTCCTAGCTCTTACTCCAGCCAAAGAACTGGCTCAGATTGCATCAAACTTTGTATCTTCTAAGTGTGCCATGGACATTAATGAACCCTCACGCTTCCCCTGGGTGGTAGATGACTTTGATCCTCATTTGACACATGGAGAAACGGTAGAGAGGGGAAGTGACCTGACCAAGGTAGAGAGGGGAAGTGACCTGACCAAGGCCATATTGCACTGAAAGCAAAGCATGTTCACCTCTTTTGGAACCCCACTCCTGGGTGCAATGCTGTGTTTACGTGTAAGACCTAAAGCAAGTGCCACCACTTTTAGCACAAGAATGATCAGTTTGAATAAAAAATCCCTCTAGGCTTTGATATTAGAGCCGTTCCTCTTTGTGGCTTTCAAGATCTGTTTCCTTTCTGGTCTAGAGGATTTGGCTGTATTCCATTACTGCTGCTGCACAATATTGCTCTGAGATTTCTGCAGTCACTAAAGGCCCCAAGAGCCGTGGGCCAATGCTGCACGTTGAACTGTAAAAAGTGTTTCAGTGATCACTCTGGTTACAGTGTGTATGGTAACACCCACTGTTTCATGTTCTCTATGTATATAAATCTCCCCACTGTATTCTCCACTGAATGCATTCGATGACGTGAGCGGTAACTCACGAAAGCTTATGCTCAAATAAATTGGTTAGTCTCTAAGGTGCCACAAGTCCTCCTTTTCTTTTTGTAGAAAGTGTGTGTGTGAGCGAGACTGAGTGAGCGTGACTGTGCATTCATGTGACGATGCATGTCACGGTATGCCGTTGTTGGACTGTTTGTATGAATGTGTATGTGTGTGCGAGACACAGTGCGACACTGTGTTTGCCATGTCTTCTCCCATTTTACCGCCCTAGCTGTAAAGGACACATTTTCTCTGACTGCTCACAGGCAGCCTGGCTGCAAATCTGCCAGTTCCTGATTGTGCTTGAACCCTCCTGCTGGAGTCCATCTCTGCCAAGCTTCCCTTAGTCACCATAGCAGCAAATGGGCCTGCTGCCTAGCAATGTAAAGCCCCTGTATTGCACTGCCAGGATAGGCTCCCAGCCACCAAGCCACTGGTTCTCCTCACCGCTGATAGGCTTGCCCGGTGCTACTCACACAGGGTTGGTTACATTTCCTGTTGGATAACTGCGGCATATCAAGAAATAATAAGCTCTTCACTTCCAGGTATTCAGGGGGAGTTAATTGTATCTTGAGCAGAAATTACTGTTTAAAAGCCTTTTTCCCTTTGGAGCTCCACTGAGATCTACGAAATCAAAAATAGAAGCAAAATACTGATGCTTTTAAGGCAGCAAATGGAAAAAGTGTTTGCGTGTGACGAGCAGGAGGAGTGGATTCTAACGGTTAGAGCCAGGGTCTAGGAGTCAGGACTCTAATTTTAGTCCAGACTGATTTCCTTTGCGGCCCAACATGAGTCACTGCCCTTGTCTGTGTCTCCATTGGCCCCAGCTTATAGCAAGTGGTTTGAGATCTGCGGCTGAAGGGTGCTGCAGCACTGCAGAGAGACCACTGTGAAGGCTGCGAGGAGCTGGGGAGGCCACATTTGTGGAAGCTGCACAATCTAAAGTTTTCAACTGAATGTGTGTAACAGAGCTTGGGCTGAGCTCTAAGGGCTGGATTCCGAGCTGTGTCACAGCAGTGTAGATCTGGAATATATCCTTTGACTTCAGTGGAGTTATTTCAGTTTACACAAGAGAGAGCAGAATCAGAGCCTAAAAGTGGGATGGAAGAGAACTGAACTGCCTTGGAGCCAGTGCACTGGGGCTGAGAGCTGGGATAATTACACTGATACAATGAGCTGGGGGGCTGAATGCAGAGATAATTGCTCTGGAGCAAATTCCTGCGGCTAGCGGTAGGACTGTTGTACTGGTTCCCTAGCCTGGCTCTGAGTGCTAGATTAGTTGCACTGCAGAAGGAACATCAGCTACCCGCTCTGTAATTGTCTCTTTTAACCAGTGCAGAATGGTCAACGGACAGTTACTTTTCCTTTATTTTGAGTAGCCTTTTAGCTGTTCCTAGACCCCCATTCCCACGCCCTGGGAGGTGCAGCCTGGGCTCAGGGTGCATGCTGTGGTCCCACCATGCCTGGATCCCAGGCACAACGTACATTTAAGTTTGTGTATCTTAGCAGCACAGGACTTGCCAGATTGGATCGCTTCTCTAGCCCACTACCGCAGCTCCAACAGTGGCCAGCACAGACAGTTCTGCCCTGAGCTGCCCTTGGGGAAGACCGCGGAGCACAGGCGTTAATAGGCCTTGTCAATTTCTATTTGCAGAAAAAACGCAAACAATGGCCCCCAGGAACAGAGGGAAAGGGAAGAAAGGAGGGAAACAGAAGAAAAAGAAGAATGTGGCAGGTGCGTGTGGAGGCCCCCATGCAGTCCAGGAGATTCCCCCATCCCTGTTTCTGTCCCCATTTCTCCCACTCCCAGGGCCAGAGGCTGGCTTTGCCGCAGGCTCCAGGAAGCTCAAGCTGGGAACGCTGTTGATGGAATGTGTCAGTCCCCAGGGGGACAACAGCACTAGTGCTGTTTCATCCTCTTTCCCCCTGCGCCCTCGCTGTTGCAGCTGCTCCTACATTCTGATGAGAAACAGAAGGGCCTTTCCTAAGTAGTTTAATAACCTCCCAAGCAAGGCGGAAGCTAGGAATCAAAGAGAGTGGCCCTCCCAGGCCCCTACTTCTCCCCCTGGGCCTTTAAAATGGAACCATATGGCATGGTGTGGTAGGGACAGGATGCTGGAAGACTGCTAGGCACGCATTTTTGGAGGGAGCTCCTCAGGACTTACACGTCCAGGAGACCCTGCTTTAGCCAATGTCCGTGAAATACAGCCCCCCGATTCCGAGGGAAATGTTCTGGGTAATCCCAGGCATGCCACAAGGGGAGTATCGCAGACACATTCCTATCCAAAAGGGACACAGGAACGGTTAGAGCATTGCTCTGGCTTGCTCCCAACTGGTTGCCCAGGGGATCGTTCACAGGCCCTGGTTCCTACACTGAGGCAAGTTTGATTCAAATGCAAAACTGCTCCTCACTTTCACATGGCAGGAGGGTAGGTGAGTGCTATGGGCCAGATTGTCCAAAGAGCACCCTCCTGCAGGGTGCGGGTCAGGCTCTCGACGTTTTGAGAATCTGGACCTAAGCATCATAGCAGGAGTCACTGGGGGCTGAGCTCTGTCAAAAATCTGGCCCTTATTTAGATGCCTAAATGGGAGTGGAGATCTTTAGAAAATCTGGCCCTGTTTGTTGTTACTGAGCCCTTGAAAATCCAGCTCCAGGGTGGGTGAGGAGCCAGAATTCCAGTCCCGTGCATGGCCATGCTTACCTGGAGCTTATCTCATCCTCTGCATAGATCAGCAATAACATTCTCTCTTTTGCTCGCTTGCTGCAAAAAATGAAGTGGAGGAGAAATACAGGAAAGCAGCCCTGGAGGTCGACATCCTGAAAGAGCACCTGGTAAAAGCCTCATCTCTTTCCTCAGGACATGTGTCCTGCTACACCAGGGACTGGTAACAGGTGGAGGATAGGACTGAGGGTAGTTTTCTCCCTTCTGAGGGGAGACAGCTGCTGGGAGCCACCAAGTTTCCCATATGGGATCAATCACTATCCCCCTGCAGAAGCATCTGCTTTCATAGTAATGAGCCCAATACTGCTTTCAGTTACACCAATGTAAATCAGCAATAACTCCAGCGAGGTCAGTGAGTTCTGCCATTGTACGTGAGAACAGAGTCAGGCCCATTGGTTTATATCTCTCCAGCCCGTTTCAACTTGAAGGCCTTCCAAACTGTTTTATAGGTTATGCCTAGGAGTCCCTCCCGTACCCCTGGAATGCAGCCACCCCTGGGATGGAACCCAGCCGCTGTTTCATGAGGTGCAGTGATGCTGTGCAACAGCTTAGGACAGGAAGTGAAAAAAAAATCCCATTGCTATGGAAACTGCAAGGGAGAACTTCAGGGAAGCAGCACGTACTTGGCCAAGGGTAATTAACCATGGGAACAACTTACCAAGGGTTGCGGTGGCTGCTTTTCGTTCACCAGAATTTTAGAAAAACACCCAGTCTTGATGTGCTCCAGTTTAAAACAGGCATTAATACAGGGAAGTTGTATGGCCCATCTAGCCAGAAGCTCAGATGTGGTGATCACAGTGGGCCCTGCTGGCCTTAGAGTCAATGAACCAATCTGTGAATTTGACCAAGCAATCAGGGTTAGTAACCTGGGCCCAGATCCTCGGAGGTATTTAAGTGCCTAACACCCATTGAAATCAGTGGACGTTACGTGCTTAAATTCCTTTGAGGATCTGAGCCCTAGTGCTTGGGAGAAGTGCACGGGCCCGTTGATGACCACAGGCGGTCAGGACCTTGGTTCTCCATCAGTGCCGGAAGATGGCATGTCCAGCAGTACAGTGCCTCCCTCTCTCCATGACGTTGTGATCACAACTGGTACCTTGCATTGAATCACCACCATCCCAGGCAGCTCCAGAGGGCTCCAATGCAAGTGCTGTGAAGTTCAGTTCATGACCATTAGCAGCGGCCCCCTGAGCACGAGGCACGGAAGATGGTAGAGAAGTGCCAGGTATTGTGGCCCGTTGTACTCCTGCTCTCACATGGAAGTGTGTAGGTGTGTCCCTTCCCCAAATTCACAGACTCCAGGGGCAACGTTGCCGGGTACCCGCCTGGGGGCAGCACGTCAGGGGAGGGGAGTAGGTTCCAGCCTCTCTGTTGAGCTATGCATCTCCATGCCCGGCAGCCCTCCGGAGGGACGTGGCCAGGCAGGTGAAGGCTGACAGTGAAGGACTCAAGCAGAGGCAGCTGGAGCTGGAGCGGGAGCTGGAGATGTCACGGGACGACAAGAAAGACATTTACGAAGGTGAGGGGCTGGGGCTCTGTTGCCTAATGCTTGTGGGGTGTGGCATCCTGCTGCTTTAAGAGGGAACCCCTCCATGCTTCTTCAGCACCGCCTGGTGGGGAAGTGGCTGGGAGATGATAGCGGGCGGCTGCAGCTGGCTACTGGCCGAAGCTTGAGGGCTGCCTGAACCCCTAACGTTCCTCCTAGGCAGGCAGAGGCAGCTGCAGCCAAAGGCCATGTGCTCCATTCCCTCCAGACCAGTGGATGCCCCTCAATTGTCCCAGAGGAATGGAACACAACTGGGCTTGTGGACACACTGCCATTGCTCCCTCGTAGCCCTCCCTACGTGGAGCTGCATTGTCCCTTGGAGGCTCCTCACATCCCACTCCACCCATCCCCACAGAGCAGCACCTCCCTGGTTCTATTGGACCGTACGCACCCTGCGAGCCAGGGGCAGATGTGCCCCCAGCTGTGGACTCAAGAGCCTTAACCTTTGTCCCGAGGTCTGGAATCTGGGCTCCCCTCATGTGGAAGGCCTCCACTGGCCTTTCCCATTAGCAAACGCTTCCCTCTTCAACAGCTCTAACCCCTGCCAGGGCCTTTTCTTGAAGGTAAAGCTCAGCCAGTGGTGTGGAGTCTGAGCAGTATATAAACCCTACGCTGCTTTGGCTCCCTGCAGCTAGGCTGATGGGCAAAATTCCCCTCTGGGGCTCTCTTCTGCACATACAGCCCTCCTGCCCTTTAGTGCTGGTGGGAGGGGTCTCCCACAAGGAGGCCCTCTGCAGGGCAGGGCAGGGAGGGACAGATGGTTCAGTGGTTAACCTGAGACCTGGGTTCAGTCCCCTGCTTTGCCACAGCCCACCTGTGCGACCGTGGGCCTGTCCCTTAGTCTCTCTGTGCCTCGGTTCCCCACCCCCAAAATGGGGTAATAGCCCTGCCCTGCCTCCCAGGGTGAGGATCGAAACATTACAGAAGGGAGATAGTGATGGGCTCCGAGAAGACAGGAGGGGAGCGTGCCCGCTGGGTTGCATTTTTGTATCTCTCAAAGAGTCACCATGTTTGGCACCTTCCTCTCCCCACCCTTGTGCTCCTGGCCACTCAGAGATGATCCGGCAGTACCAGGAGCTCCAGCGGTAGACAGAGACCCGCATACAGCAACTGGAGACCGAGACGAAGCAGCTCCAGGAGCAGCTCGGTAGGACAGCCTGACACTCTGGGATGGAGGGAGGTGACCCAGGCCGGTGGGGCAGTTCATGGCCATGTTTCTGCCCCCCAGGAAGCGGGGATGTGCGTGCTGGCCAGCAGGGAATTTCTGAGACACATTGTCACCTGCTGAATGGCAATTCTGGGAATGTGCTTCTCTCTGGGACCAGCAGCATTTCCCCTGCAGGCTTAGTGGGGCCCTTGGAATCCAGGCTGGGACCTCTTCCATCCAAAGGGAACGCTAAACAAGTGGGATCCCATCTTTGATCTTGTAGTCTGGGCGCCTCTCAGCCCTGCACTCTCCGTCAACACCACTGTGACAAGATCTCTTCCTCCCCAACCCCTCACAGCCCCTGCAGCGCTAGCAGAGCGAGGGGATTCTGCTCCGCCTCATGCAGCAGCCGTAGGGAAATCCCGCATGCAGAATCCACCTTCCCCGCTGGGCTCTCTGCTCAAGCACCTTCTGCTGCAGTCAGATAGCAATGAAGCTTTTGGTGGTGTGGTTCCTGGGGGTTGGAACTCCCCCCCTCCTCCCTGCCCAAAACTGTTTCATGCCGCTTCCCCTCCCCTTTTGGGAAAAGCCTCTCAACCCCTTCCCAAGGTGTGCTCTGGTCTCAATGCTGCTGGACCCCACGTGGGTGAACTCCTCACCCCTTGGCTGGTTCTGGTGCTGTTTAAGGGAGGGCCTCTCTCCGTACATTGCAAAGAATTTGATGCTGATACCCAGCATCCTGTGCCCGGGGCAGAGGGCACTTTGTCATTGACATAATCGCTGTGGTGCATTTACCTGCTCCTCTGCCCTCAAGGTCAGGCCAGTCCTGATTCTCCACCTCCTACCCAGGCCCTGGTGCTGGGCTCTGCTGCCTGCCATCCCCTGCAGCTATTCAACATTCCCACTCCACTGCCCTCCTCCTCTCACTCCCTGGTGTTCCTCTCTGGCAGCAACTTGCCGTGAGGCTATCCAGCAGGCCCGGGCGGAGAGAGAGCAGGTGCTGGGGGAGAAGGACCGGACCATCACAGCGCTGCAGGGCAAAATCGATGCCATGGAGACAGAGTATGAAAAGATCCTGCACGTAAGTTGCTGTGTCAGGGGTCTGGCGCCATGCCTGTGGGGTGGGCGAGCCCTGTCGGAGCAGGCCATAGGGTGGGCTGGAAGAATCTTCCTCTTCTTAGAGGAACCTGCCAGCCCTGCTCCACAAAGCTGGGGGTCCTATCTCTAATTAACCAGAGACAGAGAGCGAAGAGTGGCTACCTGCTGGTATCTACTCTGTGTGTTCCCAGGGTGCCCCCCACTGCAGCATCTAGGCACCCAGTTCCAGAGCCTCCCCACTAGGCCCCTAACAGCCTGATCCAGAGGAGGCCCCCCCTTAGCGGATGTTCGTCACCTGTTACTTCTCTGCTCTCTCCCTCCAGGGCAGCCTAGACAGAGTCCTTTCCAAGCTGGCAGCCGCCCAGGGCTGCTGGGAGAAGGAAGCCACGGCCATGCACATGGAGCACAAGGAGAGACTGCGAGAGTTCGGGCTCAATCCCCTGGAGATCTAGGGCCCTGGTTTATGCTAGGGAAAAGGGCCGTGTGGACACCCCACCCAAGCACTAACCCCCCAGCAGTGGCAGCTCTGATGGGTTGCCTTGCAGGGCTAGCAGGTATTCTCCTAACTGTGGGAAGGACCTGGATCAATAGCCCTGGAGACTGGTGTCCTCTTTCCCCAGGGCAGCTCTCTCAACACCAGGCCCAGCTCACCTTGGCCTGGGGCCCCCCAGCTAGCAGTGAGAGAACAGTTCAGTCTCCATGCCCCCTTTGGTCCTTGGCTTCTCTGCTGAGAACGGCCCTTCCCGCTCTCCCTCCCCATCCTGCTCCTTCCCAGAGAGTCCCACCAGGTTCACTGCTTCTCAGACCAGCTTAGGTAATTTTTTAAAATTGTTTTAATTGTGTAAAATGAGAATAAGAGGAGGAAGTGGGAGCCAGCTCCTGTACAGCAGGAGGGATGGACGGCAGCTGCGGGGTGGGGCTTGCAGAAGGGAAGGTTGCGGGGAGGGGGGGTCTATGCGTGGCACAATACAAGGGGCCAGATCCTCAGCTAGCTGGGAACTTACACCATGGGGGTCAGGCGCCAGGAAAAGGGAGTAACTGTTTGGGGCCCTGCCCCCTGCGTGCCATGCAACTGCTGACCCCCCCTGCCATTCCTGCCCCAGATAATTCTTGATTCTTAACAGAGAGCCCGGTCCATTGCACCCCTTCCTCCCAAGCCCATGTGCCACAACCTCTCAGGAGGCAGGGTTTTACTGCCCCTAACCTCAGCGTCTCTCCAAACTATGCAGCTGGGGAGGTTAACTTGTAAAAGCCACAATTAGAACCCAATGCAGCAACTTTACTATCTCCAAACCTCCATGCTTTGTTGCAGCACCCCCAGGTACAGCTCCTTGGCAGAGCCAGTGCTATCAGCAAAAGGGGTGAAGAGACAAGATTGTCCTTCCGTTACACATGGTGCCACTGTGTCTGTTAATAAAAAGTCGGTGTGAAGCCTAAGCCAGGTGGGTGATTGGTTTCCCTTAGGTGCAGGCCCCTGAACCTCCTTATTTCACTGACCTCACCTGTTCTGGTCCCTGCTCCCACACTGGGCCAGCCCTTAATCTCTGAGACCAATCACAGGAGAAGTGGCAGCTTTAAAGTCCCAAGATCAGCTGATTGGTGTAGCAGCTCACCAGAAAATAAAATCAAGGGAAGAATCAAAGTGCAAGTTATTGTGCGTGCAAAATCGCATGTCCAGGGCTGGTCTAGGCCATGGTTTGTAGCCGCTCCAGAGCTGGGATTGCGCTGAGCCCACAGGTCCAGCACAGAGTGGCTAGAATGACTGGCTCCGTCCCTTCCAGTCCTCACACCGTGGCTCCTGCGTGGAACGGAGAAGGGTCAGTACCAGTCACTTACATGGCCCTTCTGGAGACCCTGAGCATAGGGGCTGTCCAAAGGGAGACAGGGGAAGCAGCAGAGATCAGGGTTCCAGGTGACATGTGGTACAGGGAAGAGGTTCTTAGAATCATAGCACCACCTGCACGGAGGCTTCTCCCGCTTTGTTCTCACCTGCACCATCTCAGTTTGCAGGGGTGGGTCAAATACAGTTTGGTTACTTCTCTGTCACCCCTGGGATTCCCCCCATCCAGATATGCCCCGCATGTGACTTGGGGGCCAGATAGCAAGACAGGGACTCTGATCTCAATCTAATAACCATGTAAATCCAGAGCAACTGAAGATAATGGAGTGACTCTAGATTTACACCAGGGGCTAGGAGCAAATTCACTTGGTGTTCCTGGCCTGGGTTCTGCTCCCATTTACAATGGTGTAAGTTGGAGTAACTACACTAACACTGAATGCATCCGATGAAGTGACCTGTAGCTCACGAAAGCTCGTGCTCAAATAAATGTGTTAGTCTCTCAGGTGCCACAAGTCCTCCTGTTCTTTTTGCGAATACAGACTAAACACGGCTGCTACTCTGAAAACTAGCTTTTAGGCAGTTACAGCCAGGCAACAGAGCAGAGTCTGGCCTGTTGCATTTGTTCTGACTAACGAGTCACTGACGAGCTGGAGGGAGGCCAGAGAGGAGCAAGCAATGAAAAACCATCCCAGGTGCGGAGGGAAGAGCTCGGCTGTTGAGAGCTCCTGCCATGGGAAGGGCACAAACACCTTGCAGGGCGAAGAGTTAGCGAGCCCCGGGCCCAGAGAAGTGACAGAGGAGAGGTTTTAGCCCTGGGTGTAGCTGGTGCAGACATGAGTCACACCAGTGCAGGGCCATTTGTGTCAGTGGCTACAGGCCCCAGGGCAGGGAAGCCCTAAGGAAAGGAAAGTGGAACATTAGGCAGGAACACCCCTGGAATCATCTCCCGGCAGGCAGGGGAGGGAGCCCCACTGCTTGAGACCAAACCCCGCAGCAAACCGTTCTGGCCTGGCTCTTGGGCCTGCCTAGGCTAATACGACTCCTCCTGCTCTGGCTTCTCTGTGGAGTCTTGACCCCAGGTGAATGCACTGGCAGGGCGATGTGGAGCCTGGGGCAATACGTAGAAGGCAGGAGCAAGGCCAGCCTTATTCACATTCACCTGCCTAGAACTCAACAGGGCCTCGGCCCTAGCAGCAGCATCTCAGCCCTCTGGCACAACAGCCGTGATAGCGAGGCCCATCTCCCTGTAGCTCCTAAGCACCTCCTGCTCCACCCCCAGCAACGTCAGCTGTTGGCTACTCTCCTTTATCCTCCCCAGCACCTCTTTGTAGCTCTCCTGCTCCACGTTGCTCCCGTTGACCTCAATCACCACGTCCCCCTCCTTCAGGCCTACTCCCTTCCCGACGCTGCCCCTGGCCACCTGGGAGACAGCAGCCATGCCGCTCAGGAAATACTCAGCCTTCACTGCCCCTCCAACTTCTCAGACGTGCAATCCAATGGGCAGGCCATAGAGCTGGGTCAGAGACCCTTGATGCTGACCATGCTCCGTGGGTGAGGCAGAGGGAGTCACTGGTTCTCCCTGCCTTGGAATATGGCAGGCGGGCTGCCTCAGCATTGTACAACTACCAGCATGGGGTGTTGTCTGTTCAGGGCCTCCTATGCCTATTGTCCAGGGCAGGCAAGCTGTACTGCAGCCCCGGGCTCTGGGTGGCCCCACTTTTCCAGCTAACCCTTCTAATATCCGTACTAGGTGATTCTGCCCAGTGCCACCCAGCTGAGAATCCCACAGCACTTTACACACGGCCATATGGGCGAGTTAGTGAATGCAATGGGACTAGAAGCCAGGAGTCCTGGTTCCCAGCCCCCTGCTGTAACTACTCCCTTCCCAGAGCTAGGAAGAGAACCCAGGAGTCCTGGCTTCCAGTCTCCAGCTCTGCTATAACTCCTGACTCCATTCCCCTCCCAGAACTGGGAAGAGAACCCAGGTGTCCTGACTCCCCACCCCCCACCTCCACCAAACATTGCCTCCAGCTGGAAATGAAATCAGTGTTGGCGAGGCAGCTCAGGATGCCAGGCATGGACAGCCAGGGACACAGAGAGGCCTGTTGCCTGCTCAGTCTCTGCCTTGGGTGAGAGGGGTGCTGGGCAGGGAGTCTGAGTCCTGTGAGCTACCCATGCCAGAGTACAGTGCCATCTGGAGCCTCTAGCTCAGGCTCCATGTGTGTGGGTCGGAGGCTGACCGAGATTGTTTGGCCCACCCTTGGCACTGAGGTGAGGAGCATCGAGGGGAGTTACCTGTGTGATAAAGACCCCCGGCTTGTCGGTGATGGTCTGCAGCTGGAATCCGTACCCTTCCAGCCCCATGTCCAGGTGGCAGAGGCGGGGCGTGCCAATGGGCGTGCCATTTCGCTGAGGCATGCTGGGATGAGATCCTGAGGCCGTGTGAGTGCCCGATGAAGGGTGCCCATCTTCACAGAACAGTAGCGGGGACAGCCCCATCTGGAAAACCAAGCAGCCTGAGGCTCACAGCTCCTGGGGCCCTGAGCCAGAGGAGAGCATCCCTGAGGCAGGAGGTCAGCTTTGCCAAGGCCTCTATCTCAATATCCCACATGGCCATGGGCCTATAGTGACCCAGCACTGAATGGCAGAGGGTGCCCGGGGAGGAATTCCTGTGGGGCTGCTGCCCCCAAAGAGGGCAGGGTTGGCATCTCTCCCTGCTGCCCACCAGCCCTCACACTGCGCCGCGATCCTGCTGGGACGTACCGAGCTGTAGAATTTGTCTCCATCCGGATCAATCACCAGCAACGTCACCTGGTTGCCGCTAGCGCGGATCATGTCCACCACCTCCTGGTGGCACAGCCCCTCCACGCCCTCACCGTTCACGGCCAGGAGCCGGTCTCCATCCCTCATCCCTGCCCTGTCGGCTGGCAGCCCGGTATCCATCTCACACAGGAACTGGCCTGCATGTGTGGGGGACGGGGGGGGGGGGGGAGGAGAGAGAGAGGAAGAAAAAAGAAAGATGGAGAGGAGAGAAAAGGAAAATTGTGAGTATGAGAGAGAGAAGTTAAAATTTCTTTACTGACAGGGTCCATACAGTGGGGCTGGCCCCGTCCAGCTAATGCATTGATCCTCATCGCCAGGCGGCGATTAGGGACAATATCCCCCTTTTACAGATGGGTAAACTGAGGCAGATGTGTGACCTTGGGCAAGTCCCTAAGAAGTCAGGGTCAGCATCAGGAACAGAACTCATTAGCTCTGGGCTCCCAGGCCTGTGCTCAGGCCTCTACCTCTACGATACGCACCGATAGCCCTAGCTCCCCATCCCGGGCCGCCTTACCCATCCTCCCTGAGCTGCCCCTCTCTTCCTTCAGCAGGAACCCGTAGCCATCTGGACCTTTCACCATGTGCAGTTTCCTGGCCTTGAAGGGCAGCGTGGCGGCATCGGCCATGGCAGCTATGACTCTGACACCCTGCAGCCGGTAGAACTCCTCCGACTTGGCATCTATCACCAGCAGGGTCACTTTGCTGCCACTCTGCTTGAGCTGGCTCCGAAAGAAACACATGCGCACAGAGAGCCACGTGGGCCTGGTTAGAATCAGCACCGGGCCCCCTGACACCCTCCCGCAGGGCATAGGCCATGGAATAGCCTGGAGACCAGGGGCAGGGATGGACAGTCATAGGCATCGTGCCTTCACCACACGCATCAGAACTCAGAACACGGAGTGTGGAGAGAACTGGGCATTGACCTGGTGGGGCATCTCCAGGGTGAAGGGCCCTGTGTCCCCAGGGAACGGTCCACTACCATCTGCTGAGTGTGGCGCCAGAAGGCGACTGGATCTGTGACTTTGGACAGACAGACGCTGCCAGCCTTACATGAGGCGTGATTGTGAGGGGGACAGGGGGAGAGAAGAGGATGAAGGCTGTGGGGGAGGGACAGGCAGATGAAGAGGGAAAGTGGGGACAGGAGGACAGAGAGGTGAAGGAAGGACACAGGGACAGTGACTGAGGAATGGTGAGTGGGAGCGGATAGGCAGACGAAGGGGGCCTGATGCAGGGCAGAGAGGTGTTCAGTGATGAGTGGGTGGGAGGGAAGGAAATGGGATCTAGTAAGGCAAAAGGCAGCAAGTGTCTGACAGACATGTTCCAAGGACCTGAGGGGAGATTCGGGCCAATCTGCGACCTGGTGGCCCCCCACCCTGGGAAACAGCCTGGCAGTGGGACGCTAGGCCTGGGCATGTACCTTCCTGGTGAGCAGTGCATAAGTGTAGTTCCTCACACTGGCCCCATTCAGCTCAAGCAGCCAGGAGTCAGAGGGGACACCCGCTTTATCTGCTGGGCCGTTGCTCGTCACGGACAGCCGGAACGTGCCCTTCACACCTGCATGGAGAGCAGAACAAAGGGATAGTGCTGGCAAGCCCAGCCACCATGGGGAAGCGCCCCACGCCGGGAGGCCCGGCTGGCCCTGCCGTGGGGAAGCGGGTAGAGGAATATACACACAGGAAGCACTGGCAGGGTTTTGATGTTTTCTTTTACCTTCTGGAGCTGAAACTCTGAAGCCAAAGCCACTTTTGTCCTTCACGACATGGCAGAGCCGCGGCCTGGTGTGGCCCGGCAGCAGCTCTGCCAGGTTCTTGTCGAGGGCTTTTGCAACTTCGTAGGCATTGCCATCCAGGACTGCGACAGCGACCTGGTTACCACTGGCCTTGATCTTCTGCGCCACCTGCAAAAGAATCCAGGCATATGGGCCCAGGGCCAGGGGGTTCCAGACACAGGGCTTGAGAGGGATGTCGTGCTGGCAGAAGGTACTAAATCGACAGTCTTGGAGACTCTAGTCCTCTGTTTGGCCACAGGACAGGGAGAACCTGGGCTGCAGCAGAGCAAGCTTCCCAACCCTGCCCTGCCATGTGACTCGCCCCTGCTCGGACAGAGAAGGGGGCTCTGCAGTCATGGCCTGCTCATGCTTTGGGCTAATGCTGCTGGCAAGGGGCCAGGTGGAGTGGTTGTTTCTGGGCTGTGGACGTTAGGAATTGAGCTGAGGCCCAGCAAACTCATTTCACGGGAGCCACCCAACCGCCCGTGGGACACGGACTTGAACCAAAGCCCAGATCCCAATACACTGGAGCTCCAGGGAAGTTTGGTTTTGGAGCCAGATGTTATGGCTCAGGCCCATGCCAGGTCTCTGCTGGCTCCTCCCATGGACAATCAGAAGGGTACAGTGTGGGGCAGCCAGTGCCCCATGACAGTTCATCCCCCGTTAACCAGGCTGAGCTGATGGTGCTAGTCACAGACCTCGGCACTCAGCCCTGCCCACCAGCCCACGGCTTACCCTGAAGTGTTCCATGTTGTCCACGTATTCACCATTCACCTCCAGGATCCGGTCCCCGTCCTGCAGGCCCCTGCGCTGGGCCATCCCCCCGCAGGCAACCTGCCGGATGATGTGCCCCTTGTACCCCACTTCCTCACGTAGGGAGAACCCGAAGCTCTCCCCATCACCCTTGGTCAGCAGGTAGAATCGTGGCTTCCCTGCGTCTTCTGTATCTGAAGGAGAACAGAGCCAGTGAGTAACACGTGGTACCCAGGCTGCCACTGTGGAGGGGGACATAGGTAGGCAGCATGTGGGGAATCAGTAAGCGTGTAGAGATATTAATGAACTGGGGTAACCTCCCCCCCCCGCCATGCACCACACCCTCTGGGGAGCCTCAGTCATTCAGGTTTGCTACAGAGAGGCAGGATTCTGCCTCCTCCTGGCCAGGTGGGATTCTAGTCTGTGCACCATCTCATTGCCAGGCCTGCTCAGTCTTGTACCAGCTGGATGCTCACGTGCCTGTGTGTGTACCGGCCTGTGTCTTTGTGCATCTGTCCCAGGCACTTCTGCATATTCATATCATATGGATAGTGTCCACTTTTGGCTGTGCACCTGCCCGGGTGCATCCCGAAGTCCCAGTGTGCCTGGGCTCATCTGTACTCAGGACACATCCGTGTGCATACACATGTCCACCTGTGCTTATGCACCTGCCTGGGTTGCTGTGTACATGCAGACACATACGGTGTCATGTGTCTGCGCACGTACCTATTCGTGTCACACTGTGGGTGCATATGCACCCACATGCGCCTATGCGCCTGTGTACCTCCCTGCATGTGAATGCGCATCCCGCTGCACTTGCATGTGATTGCCTCCCAGCAGGGACTTTTCCCCTGTCTGGTTTCACCTCATCCTTCTGTACATGGGGGGAGGGTTATTGGGGTCAGGTCTCCCTCGGTTTGGTTTTGCCAGAAGCAAAGAGACTCACTGAACCTTTCCCCCAACAAAAAGACAGCAGCAAAGAGACTGCATGCAAGCTGGCCTCCGTCCAGGTCTCTGCCCCCCGTTACAGAGGGGTGTGGGTGCAGTGCAGGCAAGGGTCTCCAATCCAAGTCGGGAGATGGGGGGAGGGAAGGGGCTGTTGGCAGCTCTCTCAGACACAAGGGCTCAGGACGGGGGCCTTCTCCTTCTACACGGAATTGAAGTGCCCAAGAAGCATCAGTTATGAACAGTTTTAGTCACTTATGCAAGATCACATGCTGGTGGGTAGTCTCACTCTACAGGTCATGTCTGCCCCCCCGCCCCACCCTACTCCTCACACAAACACAGCACCCAGCCTGGCCCTGGAGGGGTGGGGGGATGCTGCTGAGCCTAGTTTCTTCTAAGTCAGTTTGCTCTTGAAGAGGAACAACCCCAACCCGCAGCAAGCCCAGGGCTGCCACTTACCGGAGTCCTCTGCCAGTGATAGGGCTGGGTTATCAATCCCGTCTTTGGGGTTGAATTCAAATTTCCTGAAACAATAAGAGAAGAATCTACAACAATAGATAAGAGATGTCAATCTACAGCAGCCAGATTCACTGGGCCCCACTCCAGCTCGGTGTGCCGTGACATCGCACCCCAGCCACATGGGTGCAGCTGGCCTGGGCACCTGCTGCAGGGAATCCCAGCCCTATCCTGTTGGGAGCCCAAAAATGTTAGGGGGGGCAGGCAGAAGGGGGCTGTATTTGCTGTCTCCTTCCTTGGGAGAATCTTGCCCACAGGCTCCAGTGTTCATATAGAAATGGAGGGGAGGGAAAGGGACCTGAACGGGACACTGGAGGGCAAGGCCGTGGGAAGCTAAGGGTATGAGATGATCATGTCAGGGGTCAGGAAGGAATCTCCTCACACCCCTGCCATACAGCATGGCACAACGAGCCAGGTGCTGTACCGCCTTTCCCTGTAGCATCAAATATTGGCTACAGCCAGAGGAAGCAGACCAGGAGTCCAGTCCTGCATGGGAAGCACTATCTTCCTACTGCAATGGGTGTCTGGCATGTCTGGACACCACTTCCCTCTGAATCTGAACTGCTCAGCTGTGTCTCATGGCCCCCATACTGCTAACAGCTAAGGGAGATTCTCCTTTGGCCTGAGATTTTGGAGCAAGGGGGGGGTCCCCACTGTGCCCGAGAAGTTACCAAGAGCCCACAAGAACTGTGAAGTCCCACATGCCCATGGATTTGTCACCCTCCCACACACAGGCACAGGAAGCAATTGGCATGGGACCAGGAAGGCACCCTTAGGAGACCAGCAAAACCCAAGTATACAGGAGTAGCTCAGCACTTACAGGGTTAACTCCTTGGTATCCTCAAGCCCTGCGAAAGAAAAGGCTCTGAGGTCAGACCATCTCTCTAGTAGCCCTGACATTGCATTGTGCAGGCGCACAAATCACCTCACCTGGGCTGCATTCACATGCCCACCCCCTGCCTGGGGCTAGCAGACCCTGCCCCAGCATATGCCCCAAAGCACTGCCATGCGCTTACCGAGGCAGGTCCCCCCACAGGGACACCGACCCAGCCTCTTGTGGCTGGTCCCCTTCCAGGGGCTGTAAGCAGAGCCCAGACTAGATGGGCACAAACACAGCTCAGGGGCCTCCTTTCCTACAGGTGGGACCCTGTGAACATTCCAGGTGGATGGCAGTTCCTGGGTTTGTCAGGAGGGGAGGGAGCCTTGTCCTTGCGCACCGTAGGGCCTACTTCTTGCCCACGTGAGGGGGATGCTCCGGAGATGCACTTGTGTACAAGCACACACAGCACAACACAGCTTTGGTCCATCCACCTCCACCCTCAACCAGGTGAGAGAGGGGGAGAGGCAGCTGGAGACCCAAGTTGGGATCAGTGAATCAGATGCATTTTGGAGGACCACAGCCTCCTGAGCCCCAGCTCTCTGCTGTGGAGCCAACTGTGTGTGCCTACGGGGGGAGGGGGAAGGAGTCAGGGGCATGTGTGAACACTTCCCTCCCACCCCCTGCAAGGTTTGTGCATTTGCTCAAAGTTGCATAGGCCCTGGAGCCAGTGGGGAAGAGGGGGTTAAGCAGCATTCCTCTCTGCTAAATCAGTATTGCTCCCGCTGCAAGGGCCTAACGCCACTGAAATTTGACCGGGCCACCCCTCCACTCAGACTGTCCAGAGAGAGGGGCAGGGGGTGCTGTACTGCCTTCTGCTGCAGCATCAAATATTACTCCCCTGTGCCCGTATGGCACAGCAGAGGGGAATGCCAAGAACATGACTTCTGGCAGCCCTGGATCATGCGTTGTGTGGGTAAGAGAGCGGGGATACGGAAGGAGACCTGGGGCCTCTGCGGGTGGAGGGGCTGGCAGGGGCTGGAATTTGACCCCCCGATCCTGCCCCAAGAAATAGCTGGCATGGTGCCACCACTCTCTGGCTAACTGAGGCTCAGTGCAGGGCGTCCAGCCAGTAGGGAGGCAGCTCTGGGGGTGCAGTCCAGACCCGTTCTCACCAGTGGCACATACCTCTGCGTTTCTGAGCAGCAGAGTGCACCTCACAGCCTTCACCTCCACTTAACTGGGTACTTAGTACCCAGCCCAACCTGGCCTGCTGCAGCAGAAACCGGATGTCATCAGGACCCTTTCCCCCGCCCAAGAACTCCTGCAGCCACCCAACCCCACCCCTAGCACCTGGAGAGTAATGAAAGCCACGGGCCCTTGGTTATGTGTGTGGGGTAGGTTCCTCAGAATCAACCCCCTTTCCCCCCAGCTGCTTCCCACCCCCGCCATAAGCCTCAGCTACTTACTTTGCTTTTCCTTCATGGCTGTGGCGAAGGTGCAAGGTACAGCGTGAAGTGGCAGGTGAAGCTGGTGTCCCCGCCTCCTCCAAGACTGCACCGGTTTAATATTTAAACAAGACAGGAGTCTTCCCCTGCGCCCATGAGTCTCAGCAAGAGAGAACAGCTCCCCTCGGCTGACCCCTCCAGGTCACACCTCAGCCAGCCCAGCAGTAGGGGGCCATGGGGTGAATGGACTTGGCCACGGTCACGCAGCAAGTCAGTGGCGGAGCTGGGAATGGAACCCAGGAGTTCAGGCTCTCAGCCCCAGCCATTAAAACACCCCCCCACTCCCTTCTCAGGACACAAAAAAGAAGCTGGGAATCTGGGCTGCCTAGTTCAGGCTTGTCTCTCAGTATCCCTGGCCCATTCAATCCTTACCCTCTGCTGAGGATGTCAATGGTGGTTGGTGGGTTCTATGGATCAGCACTGGGACGACCCAGATCCAGTTTACACAGGGCACCAGTCAGCCATCCAGAGGAATGACTCTAGTCACTGTGGTCCCAGGCCAGCACGGAGAGGGTATCCTGGAGGGGAAAGGCTCCATTGTCCACCCCTCAACCCAGCTGAGGCAGCCAGGCCAGCCACAAAGCCAACCCCCCGGTGGTCCCATGCCTGAAACTGCTTCATCAGGTTAAGGCCCTGCAACCCCCGATCCTTCTCTCCTACCGACGAGCCATAAGGTGGGTCTCTTCCTCTTCCCTGGATTGCTTCCCCACACCATGCTCACATAGCCTGGCTACGGCACAATCTCGAATCCCCTCCCCCCAATCCCCAATCAGCCCATGAAGTGCCAAGGAAATGTCCCCCCACCCCTCCCGCACAGAAGTACTGCAGGGATGGGATCGGGTAGTGCTCCCCAGGCAGATGGCAGGAGAGATGTGGCATCGGTTCGGGAAGGCTCTGGCCACAGAAGAACAGACCAGTTTGGTAACAACTCACGTTTGTGGAAACAAAAGTGGTTTAGTTTCAATGATACATAGAACTGCACAAAGCGTCCAATACTGGGAACAACCTCCAGAGCTGCTCTGCCCTTCAGCCTGCTCTCCTGCACTGGGCCTCGTGCTGCCTCAGTCCACACAACCCTCCCCCCAGGATGGATTCCCAGGGCCCGATTCCCCTGTGCCGTCATTGAAACCAGCGCACGGCGGGTGTCAAATGCTCCCTGATCAGAATGGGAGCATTCGGCAGCCACTGGGCCCTGGAAGAAAGGACTCCACAAGGTCCAGGAGACTCGGGCCCTTGGTTGATCAACTGGCTCTCAGCCCTCTGGTGCCCTTAAGAGTCTTGCCATGCAAACCTGTCCTGTGTTTGGCATGACCGATGGCCACACCATTCTCAGCCCTCGCGGAGTTCAGGCTGCAGTCCCCCCTCCCTTGGGATACAAGTGGCTCCCTTGGAGCAGAGCCAGGGTCTCACCAGCCGTGGCCATGGCCGCTTGCTGTCTGGGAATGGCAGAGGGGTTCCCAGATGGAGGCACAGGGCAGCTCCCAAGGGGCAATGCTCCCTGGTCCTTCCACGGAGGCCCCAGGCTCTTGGTGTTGTGGTTTCACTGTAGTTCTACTTGGGCATTGCTCAGAGGCAGCACGTGAGAGTGCAGGGTTCATGGCCTCAGTACACTCCAGGAAGGGAGGCCAGGAGCTGCTTGGGAAATAGCCCAGTGAACCCTAGCACTGGGCGCATCCCTGAGGTACCTGTGGCTGTGCAGATGGGATCCCAGTGAGGGAGCGACGGTGCCATCTAAAGCCAGGGCCAGTGCTGTGCAAGCTTCCCCCTCCCCCGCCTCCGACCAGCTGCTCTGACCACACCCTGCCTCCTCCTTTTCTACTGCCCAGCGTTGCCAACACACCTCACTCCAGGCCTAAAATAGTGCCTCCTGCTGTCCTGGCACTGGGGCTTCTCCCGACAGGACCCCCACGCCCTGTGGTGCTGCAAGTAACTACCTGCTCCCAGCCACCCAAGCGAACCCTGCTCTTGGGGTGGTGAAATAGTTAACAGAGTGACTCCCTCGGGCCCTGTTAAGTCCTTATGTCCATTGCATCCTCCCATCCTGCTCATGGAGAGGTGCGTGGGGGGGTGTTAGAAGGTTCCCTGCTGGATTTTAACCAGCATCTTCTTGACCTCGTTCTCCACCCGCAGGAACTTGGCCTTCTTCCAGGGGTTGCCGGTCTGCCGGCGGCTGCACTCCAGGTCCTGCAGCAGCAGGCTGAGGTGCTGCTGGACCCGCTCGCGGTCCCAGTTGGGCAGGTTCTTCTTCACCACGCTCAGGATGAAGGCCCAGTAGTCGGAGACGTCGGTGCCCACTGTGAGGAACACCAGCACCTGGACGCCGTCGCGGTCCTTGCGCAGCGCATGCAGGGCCCACTTGCCCTCCTCACTGATGTCGTTGAAATACAGGCTGGGGAAGGGAGAAGCAGGGTTATGGGGCCATGAGGCATCCCTTGGTGACCAATGAGAGAGGAGCATGGCGGGGCAGTGACCAATGAAATGAAAGGACAGGAGCAGCCCCAAAGGGCAGTAGCCAATGAGTGCAGGCTCAGAGAGGAGCCGCAGCCAACGGGCAACGAGTGGACGAATGGTGGCCACTGAGGGACAAGGCCTCAAGCAGCCGCATGAGGTCGTGGCCAATGAGAGACAAGCATGGGACAAGGCAGTGACCAATAAGGGACAAGCACTTGTGCAGCCATATGGGGCAGAAGCCACTGAAGCAAAGTACAGGCACAGTGACCAATCAGAGAGAAGCATGAGCTATGGCTCAGGGGAGTAGTGGCCTATGAGAGATGAGTGGAGGCACAGTGACCAATGAGAGACAAGGACTCTAGCAGCCATGAGGGGTTGGCCAATGAGTGACATGCTCGGCCGCTGTTGACAAGGAGCAAGTGCTAAAGCAGCCACCAGCAAGGAGCCGATATGGGGTGGGGGGAGCACCCAGAGGGAGAGGGGCCAGGTCTTGTGGGCTGGGAGTGCTGCCAAGGAGGGAAGCTGGTGCCCATAAAGGGGATGCCGGGCTGGATGCCTGAGCTGTGGCTCCCTGGTCTGGGGTCATGGATGGGGCGGGGAAGACATTGACCTGGCTGTATGGTGAGGGGAAGGGACTTGGAGACTCACTGCACTTCCTTCAGTGTCGCATGCCTCTTAGCCACCTCCACCAGCTCCAGGGCTGCCTTGTCCGTCACCGAATTGTAGCCCACGTTGAGCAACTTTAGGTGCTGGTTCTGGGCCAGGTGCTGAGTGATCACTTCCACACCCTGGTTCCCCAAGGAGGTGTGCAGCAGGGACAGGTGTGTCAGGGAGCGGTTGCCTGCGATGGCCTCAGCCAAGTACTTGGCCCCCTGCTCAGTCACGGGGTTGTCCGAGAGCCTGAAAACAACACAGGAAGGTCACAGAGGGAGAGGGGGCAGCCAGGAAATGGGGCTGCCACCCCAACAGGCACTGACTAGTGGGGTGTTTACTGCTCATACCTTAGTGCTGCAGGACATGGGGTGACAGAGGGTTCTGGGGGAGAAAATAGCTTGTCCCCCTTAGAGCTGGTTAGGGGGAAAAAAAGGGGGAAAAAGAAAAGAGGGGTTTTCCCCCCACCACAGATAATTTCAGCATTTAAAAAAAAAGTTTTGTATAAATTTTCATTGGAAATTTTTTGATTTTGGGCAGAAATTTGATTACCAAAATATTTCAATTTGGAAATGCTGCTGCGGTGCCTCGTGGGAGTTGTAGTTCAGGTGCCTCATGCTTCCATTCTCCACTATAAGCTGGGCTCCCTGGTTGGACTACATCTCCCATGATGCAGTAGGGTTTCCCCTTTTGGAGTGGGAGGCGGAACTTCATGGGATTCCCTGGCCATGATGCATCATGGGAGATGTAGTCCAGCTGAGGAGCCTGGTGCATAGACGAGAATGGGGACATGAAGCAACTGAACTACAGCTGCCATGAGGCACCATAGCAGCTTGTTGAAATTGGAATATTTTGGGGTTTGGAGATAGGACTGTTCAATTTAAAAGCAAAATCACTAGAATTTTCTATGGAAAGTGAACACTTTTCGCAAAATACTTCATCTAGCTGAAAACCCAATTTTCTGTTGAAAAACGGATTTGACGGAAAATTTTCAGTTAGCCCTAGCTTTCCCTTTATCGCAGCCTTGGCGAGGGCATGCCACAGCTTCCTTTCTGTGCTCCTGCTTAATAGGAAACCTCCCCCCATTCTTCCCTCAAATGCCTTCCTCAGCTCTCAGTACATTTCCCTCATAATCCCTTCACCCACCCCATAGAACTGACACCACCCTCCCCTAGCAACATGGATGGGGAAGATGTTTGAGTCAGGCAGCGTTCTGTAGTCCTGTACAGCTTTGGCCTGGCAGCCAGCTCCCCCCAGCCCTGCCATTGTGCTGCAGGGAGTTTCCGCTCTGCCTGAACCCATGCTAGAGAGAACCGCAGGCTAAGCAGGGCTGCAGAGCCGGGAAGGGAAGGGCTGCAGCAAAGAGTGTGAAAGGGACAATGAAAGACGATGGAGCACACCAGATATTGCCTCCATGGCCAGGTGCCTGGAAAACCCTCTTGATCCAGGCCCCTTTGGCAAAGCTAGGTCCAAGCACTTTAAAAGGATCCTGCCCAGTACACAGACCATGGGGACCAGCGGCTTCAGCTGGCCCTGAGCTGAGCGTCGAGCCTGCTTAGTAAGGGCCAAAGTAACAACCAGCAGGCTCTGCCCCCAGCCTTTCCTCTCAGCCATTTGCTTACCCTCTAATACCTCCCCTCTCCAGGATCCCTCAGACTCAGGCCAGTAACAGTGGGGCTCAGCATGCGGCTTGAACTCCTGACCAGGAGATCCAGAAAGCCATGACCACAGGTCAGCCGAACACACTAAGGAAGTGACCTCACCAGTTGGGGTAGATCTCAGAGAGAGTCCTGCTCCGGGGGACAGGCTCTTGGTTTCCTGAGCACACTCACCGCAGGGTGCTCACCACACACTTGTCGTGCAGCAGCAGGTCCCGGATCTCCCTGCAGGCTTCAGGGCCCAAGCTGTTGAGCTGCAAACTGAGACAGGGCG